AACATGAATTGTTTCTGGTGGCAAAATACATCATGCTCTGTACAGCTCTCCACTCGCTTGCCTTCTTACCTCTCCCTTCGATTTATGGGGAAATGGAGAGTAATTTAAGAAAGAAAAACATCACATAAATTGCTGGTAGAGGAAATGATGTTTTTTTTTGCTAAGAAGACAAAGGACAGGCGACAAAGAGACAATAAAGGTAAGGTCATAATAAGTGATATTGGTTGGAAAACTTGTTTTTGAAAAGTTCCCTCGCCACTGTGCTTCACACTGAACTTCACTTCACACTGAAACTAGGTTCTCTGAGATTCACACAAATGGATCTTCCAGTTCCATTTGTGTGAATCTCAGAGAACCTAGTTTCTGTTGGTTCATGCAGCTGTAGATCACAAATCTCTAAGTTGGAAATCGGATATTAGTGGAATGCCGGCAGGATGATTGCTACTGATTGCTACTGACAGGATTGGATTGTGGTTGGTGACAGTGATCAGATTCGGAGGCATGACAATATGTAAGTGAGACAGGCCATGTGAGATAAACGCGAATGAGGTATTGACATCGGCCTTACTGCATTGCTTATTGTTGTTTCTACTGTTAAGTGAATTCATTGTACTCATCATAGTCAGTATGTAGTTTATGCCGCCAGACGAACAGCCATTCAGGCCTCAGTCAGGCTAAATGGCATTCGTCATTGGGAAACATAACAATAAGAGCAACAGGTGAACGGGATAAAAAAGTGTAAAGCATTCAATGTTAATCGCTGCTTTTTGGGGCGCGCCACGCATTCTATGCACTTCTGCTCAGAGGTAAAGTGGGACTTGAGTGCATTTCAGCCCACACAATAACTTGCTAGGATAGGCCGATGTACGAGCCAGGGTTATTGTCTCCCAAACAAGCCTTTTCACGACTAACCGGACTTTGGACTATCGCGCCACTTCCGCCCGTTAAGCGAGATAGCACTTAAAAAAGGAAAATGTTTCGTTTCATTTCCTCTTAAGACGATCCACCCCCATTTTTTCAACCTTTAAGCTCCTCAGTGAAGCCAGCCGTATGACTGAAACATGAGCAACTGAGTTCACACTACACTCTACTAAATTTTAACGATCCTAGGCAAAATCTGCTGCTGTTTTTCATTTTTGCTAGAACGTAACAACAATTGGAAGATGAAGCTTGCTGGTGGGTACTCGTAAGAGGCCTACAATTTTTAAGCCGATGATCAGCACTGGCTGTTCACTTTGGTGGCTCGGAAATTTAGGTCAGACGATCCAGATTGGGACAACCTATGTGGGCAGAACGAAGTTCAGTGAGAGCCACATGGTGGGAAAAAACAATGCCAGGCTCCATGATATTTTTCAAAACTTTAGCATTTTGAACTGTGTCCATTTTCGCTACCAAGATGAGCTGCTTGCGTTTTCGTTTTCTTGCTCCACACCTCGACCTTTTTGCCTTCTTCAGAAATTTAGTGATGACTCAGAGCTGCTTACTATTACTAATACTTATTGCCATACCACTACTTATTGCCGTATTATTATTATATTATTACTATTACTATACATAAGTTAGCTACATATTGTATTATTCCTCCGTCCTCCCAACGTTTCCGACGTCGTATCGAGAGTAGGCTCGGTACTAGCTGAATGCCACAAATATCCGATGCTTGCTGAGGCATGTCGCCCTGAAGATACTCTGTCAGTGTTTGAGTTCACCGTCTGCTCCCTGTAACTGAGTCCCTCGTTGTATTATTAAGCCAAACAGTGTGAATGCTATGCGCCTACAAAGCCGTAGAGGTGTGAGCAGTATCGAATCAAATAGGCAAATTTTCCCCTTTCCATGTGCGTAAGAGGTAATTTAACTTGTCTTTGTCTTTCTAATAGGAGAGCTCCAGTCATATTTTTGGCAGGTCTGTCGGATGCCGTACTTAGTCCGTTCGTTCTGTCGTTACAGAGCAAGCCACTACTAACACTACCATACGTGAATAGATCGAGGTCTTTCGACGGTCAGAACCGCATCGTCTGCTATCCTTGAATTACTAGAGCCTACGAAGAACAGTTTAGCCTGTGCAATTAAAAAATTTCCTACGGGCAAGGACGATATAGAATTTCTAAATGTACTAACCATGAATTATGTTAATTTTAACAATATTCAGCCACAAACTTTAGGGGAAATGTTGCAGCAGTGTCCTTATCACTGAAATGTTAACACTGTTAACGATACGAAAGCAACAGCGCAACAAAGCGATGGCGGTGGAAGGTTCAAGGGGTCATTGCATGCAGTTTGATATTTGAGGAATATATATTACGAAAGCGCTAAGTTACCGAAAATAAAATTATATTCACAGAATTCCTTCCAATCAACTATCGCATCGAGTAACATGAAATCCAAATTCGGGCAGTTAGGCGCGTTATTGATCTAGCTGTTTCCTTCATGAATGATGAGATGTAGAATGAAAATACGAAAGTGAATAAATAAGCGTTTGGACGTCAAAGTAAACCGTTTGCTGATCTATCGATGCTAAATCTACACGCCTCAACTAAATAAAAGGATAAAGGATAAAGCATTTGCCGTTGATCAATCCCTTTTGGGATGCGGCACGCATTCTACTTTCCATTTGTACATTCGTAGTGGCATTTGAATGCGATGTGGCCTATACAATGACTTGCGGGGGCCAGCCGATGTTCAAGTCAGTGTTTTTATCCTCCCAGACAAGTCTGGTACCAATTAACCGACCCCGGAGGGATGGAAGGCTTGGTTGGCCCGGGCGACTCACGACCCAGGATTTGATCCCCGGACCGCTCGCGTGGTAAGCGCGCCACTTGTCACTACACCACTTCCGCCCACCTCAACTAATAGCATATTTATTTATTTATTTGTGCTTGAACACGCCATAAAATTAGAAATAGCATGAAGTTAAAAATTTCCAACAAACTATCAAAAATATCAGTAACTAAACCAGTGATAAATCAGCGACCTGAGGTTGAGTTCACTAGCCTATCTGCGATCTACAAGTAAGAGACGTATGAGCTTGCAAGCCAAGCGGTTCGCAGTACTAAGAAATGGTGGAATGTAAAGGGGATTTCAGCACTAGTTTTACAAGGGTCATTATTAATGCTCTCCGGAGTGTGATTATTGAAGAGCCACTCAAAATTAGGTGCAGAACTGCCACCCAAGTTTTCATAATAATCCACTTCTGAACGTCCACATATAAATTACAGAGCCATCAAAATTTTTTTTTCACAACACCTTGAATTGGGCTCCATCCATTCTACGAGCTGCTCCTCGCCATGAGATTTCTAAGCCGTCCCGATACTTCTTGTGATCAACAATCTCTAAGTCACATATCCCTACGAAAGCTCTACTTCATCTTCATGATTCCGGTTCGTTAATAAGGGAGTAATAGAGCTAGAGCTTAAAATCCTTACACAGCAGACAGGACCAAACAAATTCTGTATACCAGCTCACTCGTTATCATCTTTCAAGACCATGACAGAGACTGGACAGTTATAGACTCTGATGTCACTGCACGTGTTTTTCGCTCAGAATAGCATATGCAGGGCACATGAAGAAGGGTACACTGTTCTGTATGAGTCATTCAAAAGCGAAGTGGATAAGATGCAGGAATGATTTCATCTCGATTCCTCTAGCTTACCCTACCACTAAAAGTAACATTTTGATCAGGCATGAGTGTCACTGCTTGTGAGGAGCAGTGTGAAGAGAAGCTTAAAGCGGTATGAGACCGCCTGTACTTCATTAGCGAAGGGATGGTTGGTCCATGGCAATGTACTCTGCGACCGTTTGGTTCACTTCCGTCTTGATGCAATCGAACAAAAAGCTTGTGTCGACTATGATCGCCAAATAAACGGGCAGAACGTGTTCCAGTTGTTCCATTTCTTCGACAACGAACTAATGATCATTGTGCTGTGACGTCACTGACCATGATCTCCGTTCCAGCCCTAGGCGCATGAATCTGAAGAAGTTCAGCGAGAGTCGGTTGTAGCGCTTTTCACGAGTTCTCTCGCTCACCGCTGCCGTTCGATGGCAACCGAAACTGAATTCGGCATGGCCGCGTTGTCGCGTTCGTGTAGTACGACTATCACTGTGCTTTGGCGTCAGTCACCATCATTTCCGTCACCTTCCCTCCTTATAAGGCTTTATGCTGTCCCACACCCGTCCACCCCGCCTAATGCTTCCATGGAGGGTTTTTGATCGCTCCACCTTTTGCACCCTTTTGTGGCAGTCTTTACCACTTGAAGACGCTATCGTGGACTTCTGCCTGTTACAAACATTAGACAAACGCGTAAGCACCCTATTCCTACCCTACTTATTTTACATATCTATCACCTTTCTAACCCGTCCTATCGTGACCGAGAGCACGCTATAATTCTTCGCGTTCTGTTTTCCTCATCTGTCAACAACATCTGTCGGTGACATGCTATCCTTATTGACTTCCTGTTTCCCAGCGGAACCAAAAATATGGTCCACAAGCTCTTTCCGAGGCCTTGTACATAAGTCTCGTCGATAAAGGAGACAAGGGTTGATAGGAGCTCTCCTCTAGTGTCCTGTAATCGTCCAATAGATTCCAGAACTTCATGGAGTAGCTAGGCATTTGTAAATGGACTGTGATTATTTTCTTTCCATTTTCGTTCTCAGCCAGAAATGAAAAGTCCCTGAATAAATCAATGAGCTTCGTCTAATGCTAGAAATTAGCGGCCCTGTACTTCATTGCTGTTTTGTCTATTCATTTTGTATTTTGACCCAGCTACCATTTACGTAAAAGCTCAATTGCTGGTAACGCTCTCAGACATCCATTTAGCTTTTCCTTTCTTTATGACCTATTCCGTATAGCGGAATATTCGATACGTGCTCGATCAAGAGGCGTACCTGTTGTTCGACCAATGCTTTATCTCCGCCTCTTATCAAGGCTATTCAAACCTCAAAAGTGGGACGTAATGTGGGCGTGGGAAGATATGGTATGCAATGACCTGCCCCATATTCTTAATGAGAGAGGTCAGTCGCACTCTCGTGTGGGAGGCCGACACCAACCATTTTGGATGGTCCAGTGCATTGAGGGGCGGACCATGGGGTACGACTGCACCCGACGTTGGGCCGTAATTCCGCAATGTCTCTCATTCGCTTATCTTCTTTGTCATGGGTCGCTGGCGCTCGGGCGCACCCTTTCCAAGCGCACCCACACACTTCCCATTCCTTCACATTATTTTACTTCCTCTTGATTCTTATACGGAAATTTCGCTCACTAAATAGAAATTTTGCGCTTTTCTCAGACCAACGTGCTATTTTTCTTCCTTTTTCTTGAAGCTGGTCACTTTGAATCGATCCATTTTTCATATTTTTCAAATATCATAATCAAATGTGTGTGGTCGAAAGAGCATGTCTTAAGATTGTCGTCTATCGTTCATAAGTTTTCTCTGTCATCTTGCTTTCAAGCTATTATTTCAGCTGAATACCACACTCGCAAGTCGTCTGTCAACTTGCCAGTGTGATTGAATGAATTAGGACAGTATTATTACTGCCAGAAAATCAAGTCTATTGTGCAAGACGAACGGTTAGCGTTTAACGCTACCACCCAAAAGGTAGGCTCAAATTCGTTTTTGATCAATCTGATTTTCAGCAAAAATGCAATCTTTTCAGGTCCATCGAGTTCGAACAACCGAGGCCTTCTATTCCTTTGTCGCGTTCATCTACGACAGCGTTTACGAAACCGAACCTCCTCCCTGGAATCACTACTGACATTAATATCCGTAGGAAAGATGACGATGATCAACCAAATGGAGCTTATCGGTGATAGCAAGGTCGTGTAGCGTTCATGGGACCGTTAAAAGGGATATCCAATTTTACGCCATCATGATGATGCTTGTTTAGGTAGCCATCGCCGACGGCGAAGTGGATGCAATCAGTATGTGCCAGCAGATCGCCCACAACTACGACGAAGATGTAGCTCAGTTTTTTAGGATCATCCTTTATTTGAGAGGATAACCTACTACTTCCAGAATATTGACGAGGCGTTCATGCTGGTCGATTTGGATGTTGTTTTCGAGAGATTTCTCCTGTGGAAGCGTGAAATGCCTATGATCGAGGTTGGTTGCGGGGTTTCTGGACGGAATAGGCTTATCTCGGCCAATACTCAGACCAAAGCTGGCATGGGAGTGCAGGCCTAATTCTTCAGATCCAATATTTTACAATAGCGACGTTATTAGAGCTCCAGTTTATTGTAAAATCTGTACTCTTACAATTAGCGAGGTCTTTGAAAACGCCATTTGATAATCGTTTGAGTGATGGCATTTTCAGCCCTTCTACGCAGTCAAGTGCAATACGGATCGTGTTCTTGTGCGCACGTTGGCCGCCCTGGGCGCGGGAGAGGAAATAGATATTGTACGAGTCCAAGTTCCATCTTTATGTCGAACTGTTCTTGGAGTGTTCCAAATCACTCAAAGTAATGAATTTTAGGTGATGGACATGGGCGTGAGGCCTGAAAAAATCATCTACGCCAATCCGTGTAAGACTCGGTCGTTCATCACCCACGCAAAGGAGAGGAACGTTAGCATGATGACATTTGATAGTGTCGAAGAGTTGGCGAAAATCGCTCATCTGCATCCTGATGCCAAGTGAGTGGTGAGCTCATGTCTTCTGAGAACTTGTCAGTGAAGGAAAACGCTTCAGGATGATTCTAACGCATCGCTGTTTCTGACCCGACAGCCCGGTGCCCTCTGAACCTGAAGTTCGGAGCCGACCCTGTGAGGAAGGCGCCTCATCTGCTTGTACACGCAAAAGAGCTTGGAGTGGATGTGATAGGCATAAGGTACCCTATTATTTCGGAAGTTAATCCAAAGCTGTCTTCAGATAATGATAGAAGTTGCAGTTTCCACGTGGGATCTGGCTGCAACGATCCTTCAGCCTTTCGTGAGGCTTTGACTCATGCTCGTCATTTGATCGAGCTCGGACGGGGCTTGGGATTCGATATGAATCTGGTCGATTTGGGTGGAGGTTACCCGGGAACACTTCAGCAGACATCATTTGAAGATGTGAGTCGATACTTTTTGAAGTACACTCTTCTCTCTAGTAACTTTTCCTGATTTAGATTGCCGCCGTCATTCGTTCAGCTGTGGATGAGTTTCTTCCTCCTGGAGTACGGTGTGCGTTTGATTGCGGAGCCCGGAAGGTATGGATCCATTTTAAGGAAGAAAACATGAAATTGGATGAATAAAGAGCATATTTTCAGGTTCTTCGCTGCTGCTCCCTTCACACTCGTTTGCAACATTATCCACGCCACAGAGGTGTCAGCTGAGAAAATAACTAAACGTCGTAAGTGGATATACTAAAATAAGGCAAAGCAAAATAGTTAAAAGTCGTCTTGAGAAGAATGTGCATGCTACATAGTTTTCAGCTGAGGATGCTGACCATCGCGGGTTCATGTACTACGTGAATGATGGAGTGTACGGCTCCTTCAATTGCATACTATTCGATCACGTCGATCCTGTTGGAACACCCATTTTTGTAAGGAATTCATGTAATTTCGCGATACTTTCGTCCCCATGTGAGCTTCCTTGTGGGTTTCAGGACGCGATACCTGGAAAGAGTATCTCGAGCAGCCAATCTTGGCACCACTTGCGACAGGCCTGGATAAGATTGAGGTTGGTTGAAGTTGCCGAGATACTATGAGCACCTCTTGAATCTCCCACTTTTAGGACCAAAAGATGATGCGAATGATGTCTGTTGGAGAGTGGATTGTCTATCAGAACATGGGAGCCTACACTTGTTCAGGCGTCCACCACTTTCAATGGATTTCAGCGACCGAACGCTATCTACGTGATCAGCAGAAAGAATTGGTTTGTCGAGAAATATCCTGCTTTCGTTTCTTTCTGAAATCATCATCATTCCAGGGCAAGGATTTCGTCTTCACCCATCGTCTAGTTCGAGCGCACAGCTATGCGTTGATTATTTAAGCATACTGCTGCCACTATTCTAGACTTATTGTGGAACACTATCAAGTGCTATGAATGATAAAATATTTATGGGAATGTGTTTATGAACAGCACCAATTATAACAGAAAAACCAGCCACAAACGCACTCATCCACCACCCTATCCACATCTAACACCCATTGATTTCATTGTTTCCGAAAGGGAACTGAAAAGAGAATTTGAAAATGATACGATGATGGCAACCGAACCTTTCTTCTGCACCTCTTGAAAATGTGACGGGGTCCGGGCAGACAGTAATGATTCCGAAAATGCATATAACCCGAGAGCGGCACGAAACTAAAAAAATATTTGAGGTAAAAATTCACAGGCAGTCATACTCACTACGAATCCACTTTTTACGTATCTTCGATATAATTAAAGGCGCAAGGCACTCATGAGGTGTGGCGCAATCTCGAGTTCTGCCTGTAGGATCATTCCGATGCATTGTGGACAACGGTGGAGGAAGCGCAGGTGGTCATGTTTCCTCCTATGAAAGAGGTAGCCGTAAGCGCAAGGATCAACAAGGGACACAACGCTTGTCGTCGTCGACGACCCCTGCTATACTGTAATCGAATAATTCCTCTCCCTCGAGTGGCTTCTCGAGTGGGCGGAGTGCGAGGTGTTTCCTAAGATGGACACATTCGACTTCTGCCGAGGGGGTCGGACGCGAACGGCTCCAGCCTCTCACGTCCCTCTCATCTCCTCCTAATAAATATTCCACTGAACCACCGTTTTATCGTCACATTGAAAAGGGTCACCAAACCCAAGTCTTCCGCACCCATCCTGGACAACGCTGTTGTTGCCACACTCACTCCCGTCATCAAGAAAATTTCACAAGTGTTTCACCTAAAGTGAAATAAACGATTCCATAAAACTGCCTAAAATGGAATTTGAATGGAAAATGCTGTTTGCTTGGCTTCTTGGCATCAATAGGATGATATTGAAAAAAAATACGTCTAGCAATCTGAAGCAGGATCGAATGGTTAATGGATATCTACTCTAAAATTAGCTATTATATCGTGATCAATTTGTTCAGCACGTAACATAGTATCTTGGTTTGCATTGAATGCTTGCCATGCATCCTGAAGGGATACACTTTGGAAAACTAGGCATGCCGTAGGACGCATGCCTATGAATGGAGTGATGTACGCAGTCGTATAAGAACCTAGTGTAGGGTATGACGATACTTCGAAAGCTCGAAACGCAAAGAATTGCGCACTGAGTGCGCCATTCATTGCAGCAGGGTCGGGAATAGGAAACGTAAATGAAGGAGTGATGAGGGTATAATACCAGAGATAAGCGTACGTTGAGAAATCCTTGACGAGCGGGTCGCAGCAGGTCCTGTGGGAGAGAGGGGTCGTAAGAGTCGGACTCGACAATGATCATTAACGCTAGCATGTTCAGGGGTAGATAGAAACCGCGGCTCGCACTGTGCACTCGAGTCCGAATGTGCAGTGCACGGAGCGTCCCTGAGCGAGCTCGACCAATGTTATGCGCTTCAATTCCTGTCCCTTCAATGCAGATGTGAGTTTGAAGAGCATCAGCAGAGTTCCCGGAAGGGATTGTTTGAAGTGACAGGAACTGCCGACTCCAACCGAGAAGAACATGCAATCTTTCTAGTAGCGCATAAACTCCGAACCTATGCATGTTAAGTTGACAACGTTGCAAGTGCAAACTCGCAATCAATGCTCGGGCGTACAAATCAAGCCTACAAACGCTCAAAGCCGTTTTCATATCTGTAAGACAATATTCATGAAAGAAGCTATGATCGTTGAAAGAGTGTCAGTGCAACGAAGGAGAACCTCTTGGCGGTACTACGACAAATGTCTAAGGGACTATTTTGGGGCTCCGAATATTGTACTGAGTTGAGCCATGCATTTCTCCTTTCGGATAGGTGACGGGTACCGAGAGATGCTCTACATATCGTTGGAACACCATGTGCGCGCCTGGAAACCACTCTAATTCCTCATGTCATTTACTTCTTAACATGCAAAATAGGGTAATGTGCTAGTGTATTTATAATGTTCCGCACTAGAACAATCATTGATGCCATTATGCATTGTACCAGTGCAGTGAGGGACTCGAGGGGACGAAGTTTACTTGGCACCTGAGGGAAGAGAGAGTTCTAATTCGTGAGATAGTTTTCATCATGAACTGCTTAGTAGTTGCGTCTCACGGACGACGCTTTTTTCCGAGTTGTTAAGCTGATCTATTACCATTTGTAGATATTCATATAGACATGAAATCCGACACGAGGTACATCCTTGTGAGGATGACTTGTGCTGAAAGTGAGAGCGCATACTTGTAGATGAAAGGCCATGGGGTTCGCTCATTCTTCCTGTAAGAGATGCCGTAGAATGTAATTCAGTTCCATTGGAGGTGCAGTTATGCAGTTACTGTTGCGCCCACCGAATTTCCTCGAGGCGCTGGTGTACTCCCAAAGGGCATGCCACGGACTGACTGAGGCCTTGGAGACAAGGGTCAACCCTCTTCGCTCACCTCTTGAATTTTTTACGCGACCCCCCCCTTCATGGGTGATTTGATACGACCCCCTTGTATGTAACACTTGTGTAGAGACAGTGCTGCCATCAATATTTATTGCTACGTAAGTCCCTTTGGCCTCCTGACGGTGGAGCGCATTTGCTCACGGTGAAGAGGCGTCGAACGGGGAGTGTGAAAATTCGAGGAGTTTTTCTTTTTTACATTTCAGGTAGTTTGGAAGATTCAGGTGGATTTTGGATCGATCGATGTGGCTCCTCCTTCCTAACGAGTGCTTATTTGTTCTCAAACACTTCGGAATGAATAAGTTATTAGACAAAAAATAAAATTGCAATTTCTACAATTGCAACAAATTTTTACACTCCTCTTTCTAGGGCTATAACTTCCTTCATATTCGAGCTTCTGCGCCGAAGTGATTTGATTTGGAAAATTCAAATTATTCTCTCTCCAACCATGGGTAAAAATTCTTCGAAAGTTAATTTAGTAAAAATTTAGTACGTTGTTACTTTTTTCTGTGCAAGGCGACTTTTTGACCTTCAAACGATCATAACTTCCTTCAAAGTCACTCATTTGGGAAGCTGAACACGTATAATAAACTACAGGATTCAAGCTTTCTAACGAGCACCCAAGCGTTCCTGAAAGATCAGTAGTTCAAAAATTAGTCCCGTTGTTACTTTTTTTGGGGGTTTTGCGTTTCTATTTTTTTGGAACCGCGACTTTTTGACCTTCAAACGATCATAACTTCTTCCTTCAAAGTCATTCATTTGGGAAGCTGAACACGGTATAATAAACTACAGGTTTCAAGCTTTCTAACGAGCACCCAAGCGTTCCTGAAAGATCAGCAGTTCAAAAATTAGTCCCGTTGTTACTTTTTATTTTGAGGGGTATTCTTCAAGCCATTTTCTCGAAAACGCGAGTTTTCTTAGGTTTCACTGCCCGTAACTTCTTGGAAGACCAATTCCTGTTTCGTAATCTCACTCTCTCACACTCCCCACCCAGTGTCACCACAGCTCGTGGTGTGGCAGACAGAGCACGCACACACACGCTCTTCTGGTGGCAACACACGAGGGGGTAAATCGAGAGCCATCATACTATACAACAGGCCAAGTAGGTCCGGTGGGCGGCGCCGAGAGAGCGGCCCTACAATACGCGCAGTGCAGGGCTACTCCCGCAAGGATTAGGCCACCCCTAGGCGGCTTGGCAGCTCTCCGATGACACCCCACACACATTACTACACGACACTCTACACACTCCATGTACCTCAGTCCTGCGCAGCAGAGCACACTACTCCATGTACCAGAGGGGCGAGCAGAAGGGGGAGAAATCTCGCCCAACACCACCGCTCAGAGACCAATTATCGGTACGCCTATTTTTTTCGGTAACCCATCAACTCTCGCACCACACTCTCACACACATACGGCGCACTCACACACGCACTTCACACACCTCATTGGCGATGCGGCAATGCTAGCACTCGCACACTCTCGCTGCTTCGCAGGAGAACCACGCCAAGCCGCGCGCACCACACGCCTCGTGGCCCGTGGCGGGTCCGCACGAGGTGTCATCTCCGGTGCTCCCGAGACGACCACCGACACCACAATCAGGACACACTGACGACGGCGCGCAGCTAGGCTCTCAGACTCTCACTCACAACCACACCAATCGCCGCCCAGAAGTAGTAATCATTGTGAAATAAGATCAAGAGGCCTCGCACATCCTCCAATGCGGGTGCGATGACCCTAAACACGCTGGAATCACCTCACAAGCTGTGAACGCATACGCTCACCACCCCCACCCCCACCACTACAATTCCAGTCCCGCGGTTTCCATGACAAATTTCAGAAGCCATCCGCACAAAACCCCGTGGCGCCAGAGTTATCGTCGCCGGCGATTTCAATGGTGTCACCGGGTGCGGCCGTCCCGGCGAGTGCTTCGTCGGTCCGTACGGTCGTGGAGACCGCAACCCTCGGGGGAGGTCTTAGCCGAGTTCGCCGAGCGGGAGAGGCTATTTGTAACCAACACCTTCTTCCAGAAGCGACAGGGGCGGCGGTGGACCTGGCGCAGTCCCAATGGGATAGGTAAACACACGCTGGACCATATCCTAGCCGGGAGCCTCAGGTACTTCGACGACGTGACGGTCATCAGCGAGTCGCGGTTCAATATCGGGTCCGACCACAGGTTGCTCAGGGCAACGTTCAAAATAAGCGGAAAATTGGAGCGGCGGCTCAGGGCAATAGCCCAGCAGTCTAACATCAAGACGAAGGTCAATTCTGACATCGTCCGACTGCTAGCCCCCACGGTGTGCAAACCCACTAGAATATTCGCCACCGTTGACGACGAGTACGCAAACCTGTTGGCCGAGGTTGACCGCGTCGTTATAAAGGCCACAACACGCGTCACCTCTGAACCGCGACCGCGTCTGACTCCCGAGACATTAGAGCTGCTGAGGACGAGGAAAGCTAAAGTTGCTAGTATGAGCCACATCGAAAAAACCGTCCTTAATAAAGAAATCCGTGCCCGGGTAGAGCATGATTACAAGGAATACGCCGCCCGCAGAGCATGCGAAGCAGCCGAAGAATTGACAAGCGTCAAAAGGGCCTATCGGGAGATCAGACTGAAGACCACTTGCCCCGATTCTCTGGCCAGGCCTGACGGTACCGTAACATACAGCCAAGAGGAGATGGCCGAGCTGATTTGCAACTTTTACAGCAACCTCTTTGGCAGTCAGGTAAAGGTGGAGCCCACCGAGAAACGATGTGACGGATCAGACGAAGGTATTCCACCGATCCTACGAGCAGAAGTGCTAGCTGCTCTTGGCCAGATGAAGAAGGGCAAGGCACCGGGACCAGATCGTGTGAGAGTGGAGAGTCTCTCCATGCTGGCTGAGGAGATAGTGGACCCTCTCCGCGTGTTGTTCGACCGCATATTGCGCGAAGGAGTAATCCCGAGCGCTTGGAGGGGCTCTACTACGCTGCTCATTCACAAGAAAGGACCGCAGCACGATCTTAACAACTTCCGCCCAATATGTCTCCTGTCCCAGGTGTTGAAGGTCTTCTCCCGCCTTGTCCTCAACAGAATACGCCGTTGCATCGACGAATACATGAGTGTAGAACAAGCCGGGTTCCGTTCATGCTTCTCCACTATTGACCATATTCATGTACCCTAAAATCCCATAGATAAGAGCGGTTTAATTTACCGGTGAAAAATGAATTGGAATGAAATTGAAATTGAATGCAGTCACCCCTCTAACTTGATGGATGGATAAATAAAAATCGGAGAAGAAGTTTAGAAGAAGCTCCGTCCCTCAACTCTAAACCCCGCCCACTTAATAAACAATTCATATAGAAAAATAGCGATTTTAACGGAATTTCTGCCGGAATCTCTCTAGAAATGCCGGAATTTGATCTCTGGATAGAACTTGAAGAGCCCATTCGATCAGTAAAATTCCATAGATAAGAGCGGTTTAATTTACCGGTAAAAAATGATTTTGAAAAAATATTTTTAAAATTTTATTTGTACAACAACAACAAGGACTCCAACATAACCATAAACAACAAGGACTCCAACATGAACATAACACTAAACTTTTCCAATTTCTACTTCGTCATCATCGTTTATATTCATCATGGCAAAATCGTTTTTGAGATTTTCCAAATCACACAATGCTTTTTCAAAGCTATGTTGAATAACATCAGATGAAATGGATTGGAAACTTTCGCTAACTAAAAATGCAGCTTCTTCGTAGCTCATCCTTCTCCTTATTCCATTTTTTGTAAGTTGCTTTGGGCTTCATCTCTCATCCATTTTTCCCGGCCAGCTTTCAAGTGGTCTTTAAACGGTTTGTTGATGCCGACCTCTGGGTTGCAATATTTTAGTCAATCCTCCTGGTATTACGGCAATTTTGCTATATTGTTGACAAAATTGTTTCACTTCATCAGTTACGTGGCAACGAGCAGAATCAAATATCAGCAAAGAGCGATCAGGGTCGGAATTGTGATTTTCTCTTTTGTTCCATAACTTCAACGATCCATTCTTTCATCAATTCCTGATTCATCCAACCTTTTTCATTTGTTTTCACAATGACATCTGGAGGAAATTGTCCTTTTGGCATTAACTTCTTCTTAAAAATTAGCATTGGTTTAAGTTTTCTCTCCAGCAGCAGTCACTCCCAATACAACAGTAAAATTAGATTTCTCATGGCCGGTAGAATCAATTTTAATGTTCTCTCGTCCCTTCACATCAACTGTCCGTTCATAGATGATGATATCAAAGGGAACTGGTAGCTTCATCAATATTTCCCGAATTGAAAGGAGATACGTTAAGGATTAAGCTGCAACGAACTTTCGAAAATCCGAGCATTTTTGTAGATGGTCAGACGGTAATGGTTGACCGACACTTGTTCTTCTTCGTACAGAGAGCTTTTTCGCGCCATAAACAGGCTGCACCAATGCGCAGATGCTTTAAAATTTTGGTGACCATGCTCTTCTGCTAATTCCTTTGCTTTGGTCCTTATTTCTTTCACCGTGACAGCTCTATTTTCTTCTCGTTTTTTGACAACCCAGTTGTAGATGGCATCTTCAACTTCTTCAACGCTTGGTTTTTTGTATCGTCGGGCTCTCTTCGTTGCTGCTCTCTCTTCGTTGCTGGCATCTCTTGAAGATTTTGTCGATCAACAACCCACTTTCTTATCATTGCTTCAGTGACTTCAAAATGACTAGCCGCTGCCAAGGTTCCATGCAAATCACGATAATTGACGGCGTCTAGCTTGAAAGCTGCTGTATACGATTTACGACGTTTCATAGCAGGTGATACAGGATAGAAAGAGTGGTGCTAAGTGGGTTGGGGGGGGACCACGCGGCGGCGCGGCAGTCTGCTCACCTGGGCTCTCTCGAGCGAGACAGTGTAAACTCGAACATTCCAGCTTTTCACGCATGTCAAGTGACTGCCCCACCCCCCACCCCCTAGACTGCCTACACTCCCCCTGGCCCACGGATTTCCGAACATGCCAGGCGAGCAGACTGCCGCGCCGCCGCGTGGTCCCCCCCCAACCCACTTAGCACCGAAAGAGTATAGAAAACAGTAAGAATAAAGGTAGAGTTGTAGGCTATTATTGCGATAATCATGAGCACACAACGCCAAAAAAACGTATACAAACGTCAATTTTCATTTTCTAGCACAAACCGCTCTTATCTATGGATCCGCTCTTATCTATGGGATTTTAGGTAATATCACAGCTGACGGAACGTTGCCGCGAGTACCGCACCCCACTGTGTCTTCTGTTTATCGATTTCAAAAAGGCCTTCGACACAGTGGAGCATGAGAGTGTATACAACGCCATGCGCGAGTGCGGTATCCCCGAGCCCTATATTAGAATCACGCGGCAGTGCAACACGGGCTGTTATACCGATATCAAACTCATAAAAACACCGGTCCGTGTTCAAATCCGGCGCGGCGTCAGACAAGGCGAGGTTACGTCCCCGAACTTGTTCGCTATTGCGCTCGAGAACATCATGAGGCGAATCTCGTTGCCCGGAGGAGTGAACATCGACGGCGTTCGCTTAACGCATCTCCTCTTCGCTGATGACTGTGTTCTGATAGGCGAGGACCCCGCCGACATTGCGCAATCCCTGAGCCTCATCAGGCAGGAAGCCGGCAAAATCGGACTACAAATTCATCCCGGCAAGACTCAGTGGATGCACAACGAACAAGTTCAGTACCAGCCGATCCTCCTAGAAGGCCAGGAGATCGAGCGAGTCTCCTCTTACGTATATCTCGGTAAAGCGGTCAACATGAATAACGATCTCACGCTCGAGATTAGCCGACGCCGCAGAGCGGGCTGGACCGCGTTCAATAAACTTCGAGATGTACTAACTTCTAAGCACGTCGACCCCCGGGTCAAAGCTCACGTCTTCAACTCGCATGTTCTTCCCGCGATGACCTACGGGGCGGAGACGTGGAGCACCACAGTCTCTGAAGAGGAGAAACTCGCAGTCACTCAGCGAGCCATGGAGAGGGCCATGTGCGGGGTAACGCTCCGAGACCGCATACCCAATGACACCATCCGCGCTCGTACGATGGTGAAGGACGTCGTCGATGCCATCTATAATTCCAAGCGGAGGTGGGCCGGTCATGTGGCTAGACTTACCGATGATCGCTGGACGAAGAGAGTGACTGACTGGTACCCAAGGGGAAAAACAAGGCCCAGAGGCAGACCCCCACCAGATGGGCAGACCCTCTCGTGAAGATGTACGGCCAGTTGTGGCGCAGAAGAGCCCGAAGCAGAGCGACCTGGAAGATGTGCGACCTGCGTTTCTGGCGTGCCCGGGACGAATAGCGGTCGAGAAGTAAAGTAAGTAAGTAAGAAAGTGGCTAGAAAGCTTCGAGCATTGTGCTTGCCTTACATCCCTTGCCTTGGTGCGCGCCACGCCTCGGGTTTATAGATGCTCTAGTATCAGTCATCTTACGAAAACGTAACGTGCTGGCTATTATCCGATATTACCAAGAATCCCACTGTCGGCCACCGAGAGGTACGACCCCCCCCAAGCTCAACTGAGTACGACCCCCCGTTGTTACTCGTAACAACGTAGGGTTGACCCTGCTTGGAGAAGAGGGTGAACTTTGAGGGTAATGAAAATTGCTTACACATCCCCCTAGACTCAAGCCTAGTACTAGGGGACCAGCAGGGGGTGGGGAGGAGCATGATGGCTTGGCGCTTTTATTCGCCAACCTTGTGTGGGATTTTACAGCTTCTGCGTTGGAAGATAATAGCAGTTCTTTACGTAAGCTGTGAGCAAAAGCTTAACTATTGCGCTATCAATGGGAAAACTGTTCTCCACGATTCCAATCATTTTGCATTAAATGTTATGTTCAGTGTTCGCTTCCACTTTTGCTGGATAGGAGATAGGAATTTTTTATATGTCCACTACCACAAATATTCACTGCTGACATCTCGAAGATATATGCAAAAAACTGCTAGACTAGATATAAGTCATCTAGTCTTATTATTTCCTCTCATCACAAGTTCTACCCGTAGTTATTCAATCGAAAACAGGGTGCCAACGATAGCGGAACTAGCCGTGAGAGTACTGTAATCGCCTGCTGTACGCAATCGCACGGGCGCAGGGTGGGATAAATACGTAACATCGTACATAGCTGTGGTTGTGCTACAATGTATACCTGGAGGAGAGCTTTCTGTTCGGCTTCTTCGCTTATAGGGAGAGAACTCTATCAGGTATCTTGTGTGTTGATTTCATTTAGAATACTTCCGTTACCACGGAGCTTCATGTGCTGGAGTTGTTTTCAAGGGTCAAATTTTATTCATATAGTTTGGTCTTCCTTTTCTTCATGCATTAAGATATGAACAAGAGGTGAGGTTGGTTTTTGAAATGATCTAAAATTTGCGAGTGCTGCAGCGTATTCCCTGTGTGTGGTGTAGTATGTTTACGAGAGGTGGGGGGATGTTGCTGCGATATTTGTCATGTCTTTCAATACATAAGTGACAGTTCTGGGGCCGACTCAGTCCTTCCAAGGGGTTGGGGAAGAATCTCCCTCACCCCCCCCCCCCTATGAGAAATCCCTTGGGACAACCTAATAGCATTAAACAGCGCCAATTCCAAAAACCGTAGGTCATACTCAAAAATTAGGACATCAAATAAACCCTGTGCAAAAGCCTACACCAAGTTTGACAAGAACAGCCGTGGTGAAAATGTCCGAGATCGAATATCGTATTCGGGTGCTATACAAGTGGGGTGGGCACGCCCAGCTTTTCACGCATGTCAAGTGACTGCCCTCACCCCCACCCCCCTAGATTGGCTACACTCCCCCTGGCTCACGAATTCCCCGATTCTCGTGACAGTATAGTAGCGGGCAGCAGTCCCACTTACATACATTTCTGTTCAAAAAATGCGGCGTGCCCACCCTACTTGTATAGCACCCGTATTCGAAATCAGGGCATCAAAATACTTCAAAAGGCAAAGTGTCAACGATAATTGAAATTTTGAGATTTCGGGGCAATTGTAGTGGTATGCCCTCATGGTGCATTATCAGCACTTAAAGGTTGCCCTTCTCATGCTTATCTTGTACATCACCTTTTGGAGCTTTCGCGCGTTGGAATTTTTTTTCGACCACCCTTCTGATTGGCTCTTGCTTGGGGTGTGGTTCACTAGTACGGAAAGTGACTTTTTCGCAGTTTATACCGCGAAAAAGTCACCTTCTGTCCTAGTGAAAACAACCCGGGGGATAGGTGGAAATAAAAAAGAAAAACATTTTGTCTCCATATTCAAATGGTTTTAATCACACTTTTAAAAATCAAACCATATGCCAACTTCAAATAATAGAGTGCATTCCGTATTTCAAAATAACGGACGAAATCCGAAGTCTACTTCGGAAATATGATGCAAAAGCCTCTATGGGAAATCGTCTACCTACGACGTTTTCTCTGAAGTGCTGATTGACAGCGGGTTTGATAGTCAGAGATAATGACTTTAGGAAATTATCCAACGTTAGTCTTCAAGAAACTATGCTTGAGACTATGAGAGCTTCTGGCTAGAGCAATTACGGTAGGTCTCCTTGGGCTTGACGGCGATGACAGATGACATCATAAGCTGAAGCGGTGAGCTCAGTAAAGGAGAGCTTACATTTACTCATAGAGGGGCATTCGAAGAATTCTTTGGTGTCGAATTTCCGTCAACGGCGGCTGACTTTGCGACGAAAAAATCCTGAAGCGCGACACAGGCAAAATTGTTTTGTCCCTCACCCCCCCCCCCCTTCACCCTGCACCCCGGGGTGGGTACTTAGGACAGAACGCGACTTTTTCGCTCTTCGCAACGCGACATCGCGCGGCAGGCTGGCGCACCCGCAGCGAAACAACTACGGTATGGAAGAACGCGCGATTGGAGCAGCTTTTTTGCATGCGTGAATTTGTAAGTTTCTGATTCCTTACTTGCCCGCGCTCACACCCATTGTATTGATAAATGCGGTGAATCACTAATTCTGTCTCATTATTGAAAACGTTTTGTGACTTACACGATTCCGGGCGATGCCACAAATGATGTTTTACGAATTATCGGTGAACGAGGGTTTAATAGTGTCGCTTGTGCTTGCATTTTGTGGGTTCATATTGTTGTATAGACATCTGCAATAATGGTATAACATCTTCCCTGTGGTCGGACACACTCCAACTTTTGCCTCACGGTGCGTGGTTTACTCACTCAGAAGTTTCACTCCCCTCCCCTAAGCTTAGTAGTTGCGGCGGGTGACTAAGAGACTTCGGGTTATGTTGGACCCTTCAATGTCACCTTGCGGTGGTCAGTGGAATTATATGCGAGAGAGTACAAAAAGAGAGTTTGAGCTGTAAACTGTTTATCGAGCGTGTTAAATCAGCGAGTGCCGTATGTTCGAGTCTTACATAAGGGTCCGCCCCGCCAGACGTAAGGCCGAGAGGGGATCATCGCCTGCGATGCGCAGGCGATGATAGTAGTAAGCGCTAAGAAAGCTTAGGAAAGCAGAAAGGATGCATTAATCAGCACGAATGTGAAAAATGAGTGTCATATTCATGATCAGGGCCCCAAATAACCCCTATGCAGAAGGTTGCAGTCGTCTCGTCAAACGTGGGGGGGGGGGGGGCGTGGGGGGTGCATGTGGTGGGGCTCGGGGGAACGTCCAATCAACGATTCCTTTAGGCCGATGTCATAGTTTGCGAATCGAGCGATTCGCTAGCGAATCGCTGATCCGAGCGTTGCGCCAGCGAATCGAACGTTGCACCAGCGAATCGAACTTTGCGCCAGCGAGTCGAACGATGTACCAGCGAGTCGAACTAGGTACCAGCGACTCAATAGTGGCGGGACCCAACTTTAAAGGAAGCCCCCACTTTCAAACAGCGTCCACTGTCACGTGACACTGTTTGAAAGTGGCGGGCTTCCTTTAAACGTTGGGTCCCGCCACTATTGAGTCGCTGGTACCTAGTTCGACTCGCTGGTACATCGTTCGACTCGCTGGCGCAAAGTTCGATTCGCTGGTGCAACGTTCGATTCGCTGACGCAACGCTCGGATCTAGCGATTCGCTAGCGAATCGCTCGATTCGCAAACTATGACATCGGCCTCCAGGTTCTCCAGAAGCTCTACCATCCATCTCTGCAAAAATAACCTACCTCCCTCTTCACTGCTAGTTAGCGGTCCACTTCTGGTTACCATTTCCTCGTTCATTATCAAATCCATGGCTATTAAGCTTCAAACTCCTTGTCGCAATCAAAGCCGACACAAATATCGCGCTCCAATCGCGCGTTCTTCCATACCGTAGTTGTTTCGCTGCGGGTGCGCCAGCCTGCCGCGCGATGTCGCGTTGCGAAGAGCGAAAAAGTCGCGTTCTGTCCTAAGTACCCACACCCCACCCCAGCTCTGATTTTGGAAAGTCCCGTAGTTCCTAAACGTAGTCATAGCAAGGGAGATTTGCTTTAGAATGCATGGCTCATCAGCACTTGAGAGCATGTCCTTACAATATAGGCCTAGCTGGAAAAGGCTTCTTCAGCGTGGGATAACTCCTCATTGAATAGAAACGTTCTGTTTGAGTGCAGAAACAAGCTCAAACCAGTAGTGAAGTTGGCCTACTTTAACCCATTCAAGGTTGGTGGTGAAGGCGGCACTATCGGTAATCAAAAGTGCACAATTACTATGAACGGTTATAGTTGGAGCGATCAATATCGCCGAGGGTCTGCCACCATGAGTTTTTAATCCATAGGTTTGATTTCGCTTTTTGCTGTTTTTTTTTATCTAGTCGCCTATGCGAATTTTTTTTGGTGAGAGATGTTCAGCTCGCTAGTTATTCAGATTTTTTCTCTCTTATGCCGCTTACTAACTTTTTTCACCTTATCGTGAAGCACAGAGTAAGTCCAATTGTGTTCCTGAAAGAATCCTTCCACTTCTTGTTAGCATCTAAGCGTTGGTTTCAATATTCCTGACAATGGACAAACATGGCAATTGCTAGTGCTTCCACCAAGTTTTTGTGCATTCAATTCCGAAATCGTAATTGTAGGGCGAATCAGTCGTCCGCCTGATTTTGAAGGATGCAAAGCGACGCAATGCACTCTCATTGGATATGATTGAAGAACTCAGCAAAGAGCTGAAAGAAATAAACTCCATTTCAAAGGTTGCTTTTCGTTGTGATATCTTGATCGTTTAATTTATCGTTGCCATCTTTATTATAGGTGCGGTCAGTCATAATATCATCGGAAGGCCCAGCGTTTTCCTCTGGTCATGACTTACGTGAATTGGTGAGTAGACTTTTCTTTGAAAGTCTTGCCATGTCTTGTAATACATAACAATATTTTCTTGTTATACATAACAATATTTTCGAAAGCTGAAACAGGGCATGATTTACACCAAAAAATTTTCGATCGATGCAGTAACCTCATGACGTTCATTCACTGTATGGAGGTCCCTATAATCGCAGAGGTAAGCTCCATTGAATACCATCATTT